AATCATGTGTATTAAGTGAATATGCTTTTCGAACTAGTATTTCGATTCGTACTGCTAATTGTTTGATTGTTTCATTTGTTAATCTGCGTATTTCGTTGCATAAAACTCTTTGATGATGTTTGTTTCTTTCAGAATCAAACATTTTTGAAAATTCTTGTTTAAATCTTTTCCAATCTGATTTTTTTTTCTATAGGTAGTACTGAAAACCATTTTTGAGCTGCGCCATCTAGTGTTGTTTGTATTAACGCTGTGCGTCTATGTATCAATTTTGATGGAGTGGTGTATTAATTGGTTAGGGTCCTATATTTAAAATTAAATTTGCTGTGACTGCATTTAAATAATCTTCTACAGAATATTCAGGGTCTGTTTCTGTGAATACCATCAGTGGTTTATTCGATGTTATTGATGATCCACCCATGAGGTATGGATTCATAGTCATCTGTAGTGATTCTGCGGCATTTGGCATTTGTGAAAAATTTGAAAGTTGATTTTTTGTTATTTCATGTTGCTGGAGGTAATATGGAAGCGGTATTTCATTTTTCGTTTGAGTTGGTTGATAAGAATGCATAGTCATTGGGTTTTGTGGCTGTATTGGTTGAAAAGATTGTGTGTTAAATGGGTTTTGTATATGCAATTGTTGTGGATTTTGTGTATCTGTTGGATTTTGTGGGAAAACTTTCATATTTTGGGATGGATGAGATTGTCGCGGTCTTTGTGTGCGATATTCTTTAGTATATGGTGCAAAAATATCTGGTTGATATTAATCATCAGCATCAGATGATAAGTTGTTTGTGTTATAAGGTGTTTGTTGTTTATTCTTATTTTGTTGAAAAAATGGATAATTTTCACTATAATCCTGTGGAGGGTGTAGATTATCTGGGAAATTTACTGAATTGGTTGATGTATTTGGGAGATTCCAATAATGGGAACATACGTGATTTAAACTTTGTGTATTTTTTGGGGGGGGGGGTTGATTTGTTTTTTGTTGGTGTGCATAATTATATTGTGTTCTGCAAAAGTGTTTTTTGTGAACGTTTTTCGTGTTTTTGACTGTTTTGTCATTGGTCTATATGTCTGATAGTCCATATGTGAGTATTTGGAGCAATCGAAGGTTTAACGGTTGACTGTAAGGTTACTTGTGGTAGTAATGTATTTGTATTTTTTGGTGTTGTGAGATTTGGACGTATTAGTGAAATACTTTGTTGTGTAGTTGTTACTGTTGTTCGGACTACTTCTTCATTTATGAAGTGTGATGGTGTTTGAATATCTTGCTGTGTAAGATTTCCGGTTCCTTTGAGATTTTCATTATGTATGACTGTTGAATTTAAGCTGTTGTTTCGTGTATCAGGTAAAAATGTATTATATTTTAATGGTGTTGCGTCAATCGTTAATGGTATTACTTACTTTTACATAATCTCTGTGAAAAGATATTGTACTTACCGCTTGACTCGAGATATCTTGTGGAATGTTTATAAATGCTGGATGAGACCATTCAGGGTTCCAAACGTAATCTGATTGTTCTGCAATGACGGTGTCGTCATTGGTATTTTGGGGTCTGAAATTTTTTCGTGCTTGTGAAATTCAGTCTAGGTTGTAGGTAAAATAATCTATTATAAACCATGCTAAAAATTTTTACAAATCATGTTTAGTGTTTTGTGAGACATCATTATTGGTGAAATTTTCGCGGATTATATGTAAAAATGTTGTGATTTCTTTTCTTAGTTTTGTATGTTTGGATGTTTCTGTTGGTGATGTGCTTTGAACTTCTGTTTTTTCTAATATAGATATATAACTATATATTATTGCAAAAACATTGTTAAAGAATATTGAGTTTGCTCTTTGTGAATTATGATATTGTATGCTCTTGAAGTATTCTATGAATACTTTCGAAAATTCTAAATCTATATCGTCTGTTTGAATTACATATTTGTTATGAGCTGTTTGTGGTGTGCTGAATTCTATGGTGTAGATTCCATATTGTTGTGTTAGGTTACATATGTCTTTTAGATAATGTTCTTTAATTTGTCTTTTGATTTTAACATCCGGGAATTCTGCTTTGCATGGACGGATTCCTGGTTCAAATAAGTTTACGAGTAAGTTGTTACAAAATTGTGTTTGTCCTCTATCATGGAGTGAATCTATAAGAAAGGGAAAACTGCTTCTTCATCTGGACTTTCGTCACTTTTAGTGTGGCTCATTTTTTCGTTTGATGACTGTTAAACTATAACTATCAATATGTCTAATTGGTTGATTCCAATTATATAGGTGTACTGTTTGTGTTTATATTGCTTTTTGATTCTTCTTTTTCCTCTTTTTGATGAGTTTGAAGTTGTTTCTGAGTCGGAAAAATATAATTGATCATGGATGGGGCAATTTTCATTTATTGATTCCTTTAATTTGTATAGTTCGTCTAAATTGTTGGTTTCTGATTCGGAAAATGCGTTTCTATTTTTTGAAAATCTTTTTCTTGTGATTTGTCTTTGTTTGCTTATAATTTTTCTTTTTATTGTTTGTCGTTTTGTTCTAATAAATCCAACTGTTTGTGTATGTGGGGTTATTACAAGATCATATTTTTGGTTGTCTATTTCACAATTGTGTAAAACGATTGTTTGTTTATTTCCTAAATTTTTGAATGACATAAGGTTTAGGATGAGGAATGCTAGAAGTTATTAGTGATTTTTATTTTCCTAGACTGTTAGTCCTTACGATTTTTTGGTTAGTTTAACCTGGGTCTTTTTGTTCAGGGTTGGAGAGAAAAGTATATCAATTCCGGAGAATGATTTTTTACTTTCTCGTGGCTAGTCTAAGTTAAGGTGTTAACTTACTTAATCTTACTTACGGGTAGTGATTGTGTTCAAGGGTTGGAGAATAGTAAATCGATCCACAAGGTTCAGGTATAATTAGAACGCAAGTAGTTCGTGAGATACTATTTTAAACTTACTAAGTCTAAGATCTATCCTGGGTCTGGTAAGAAGAGGGTTCAAGTGAAGGATGAATAACCGAAGTTCTTCACTATTTAGCCTAATTTGAATGGTTAGTGTTATTAAAAATTTTCATTAGTCCTGGGTCTTTTGAAAAGGTTGGGTAGTGAATCGACGTTTGAGGTCGTAAGACACTTAATAAGTGGGTGGGGGAGAACAAAAGTGTTCTTTTTGATCCAAGGATAAGCCTCGATGATCAGAATTAAAAATTAATGAGATAGAAAATTTATTAAGATCCAAAGATAAGCCTTGATGATCTGGTTTAAAATTAAGTAAATTTAAGTTTAAAATGGTTTAAATTTATTTGATATAAAGTTTTAGTTTTTTATGATGTTAGTTAGTTTATGATTGCTGTTATGTTTAGGTGATGAAGCTGGAACAACAGGATGATTTATGTATACTAACAATTTATTGTAATGCTACTAATTTTAGTTTTTATTTTTTAATAAATATTTTTCAAATAAATATGTTTTATATAATACTGCAGATGTTGAGAAAACGATCTATCTGAGATCTTTTTATCAATCGTTTTTGTACATTAGTAATTTTGTTTAGCGCCTGAAATAATCATGAGGATTTCCTTCAAAAATTTATGTTTGCAAATGAAAATCTAAATTCATTGCTAATAAGATTCTAAATCTAAAAGTTTGTGTTGGCTTTTGCCGTACAACCATGAAACTAAATGGTAAGTTTCTATGTAGTCGTATGTCGTCTCTTGTCCGAGGTCTTCTTCCAATACCGGGTAGTTCTAGTATTGTGCGGAATATCGGCTCTGATCTATTGAGTCGTAGAGACATTTCAATTAAGTTATTATCGTGTAACATTTTGAAAATGTTTTGTCTAATTTCTAATCTATATTTGGTTAAGTCTAAGCTATTAAGGTCTTATTCGAGACTTATTGTCGCACCAGATGAGTTAGGTCCTTTTGGTTAACTCATAGAGTCATTTCGGATAGGGTACACCGTCTGCTCGTCACGCTATCTTATTTTCGGCCGGATAGATTCGTGCAACTTCTTAGTCTAATACCGATCCTAATCTTACTCTTATATCTACTAGTCTCAGGGTGTTTAACTAGTCTCTGCTAGGCTCAATAGATCTAGAGTATACTGGCTTATTGCGGCAGCTGAAGTTCTCTTGGAGAGGCAACTAATTTCTAAGTTAAATCCAAATCTCTCTGGTGCTGAAATTACAAGTAATTTCAGCACTTACAAATAAGTGGGTTGTTAGTTGGATGGATTATGATTGGTTAATTTTAAATATTTTACAGTGGTAAAATATCTAATTTATCCAATAATAAAATGTAGTTTAGATCAGGTTCCAATGGGATTGATTGGTGGGACAAATGTAGTCAAATCTTAGTTTTTACATTATTACAGAAACCGTTTACTTAGGAGAATGCTCTCAGCTTTCATCTTCGATTGGTCATGATTCCATAATTTTTTCTGGGGCTAAATATACATTATTTTGAAGGAGGAGCAAAATACCTTCCAAAAAAACCTGAAACGTTGCATTTGGCCAGTTTTTTTTTTCAAGACAACTCCTGTGTAGTATAAAATTGTAGCAAAACAATAGTGTTTCTAATGATTTGGGAGCTCGGAAAGTTTTTTTGGTCGGCAAAAAGGGTCAAAAATATTTTCAAAACACTTTTAGTGAATCTCCCTCTCGAGAATATCCTAGAATCGCGCCTGTTAAAAAGTCAGAACCTTAACCAATATTGAAAAAATTTTGGGCTCCTTTTTTGTTCATTTTTTCTGTACCCATGATTCATGATCCACCATGCCAAATTGAATAGCAATCCGCAGCAACTTCGATTTATTTCATTTGTGCATTCTTGGCCGCGCAAAACTTTAACAGATTATTCACGGCTTGTGAAAACATGAAATTTCACATCATACACCGCGTCTCCAACCGGGTAAACCAAAAAGATCCCCTTATAATCCATTTTAATGTGCATCCCAACCCCCTCATGCATAGATCGAAACATGATGTATTGTAATTTAAAAAATTATATGAGTTTAGAACCCTTCTTCAAGATATTTGACAGTGGGGACAAGGGAATCCGCATTGATGATCCACGCGACATTTTGCTCTGTACGGAAGAGCTAGAAAGAAGACTCACACCGACTAAAAAGAGTGTAACGGAAGATTCTGTTCATTCCGAGGAAACTGTCAAAGCGCTGTCGGAGAGGCTAGCGCCATGTTAGTTTAATATTATGTTAATTCTGTTCACAACTTATTCGTGGCATGTGATGCGGCTTTGGGAGAATGGGCAAGGGAGGGTGCTGAAACTCGCAAGTGGCGAGGGCAAAGCGAGGATTTGTTTATAGAAAACAATTTGAATTGTAAATGAGCAGTTTTCGATCGGATGTTGGTTTCTGTAGATTGGCTCTTGGAGTCAGCATTTAAGATCATTGAAACAGATATTAGTTACTCATCGAAAATTTCTGTTTAAGCATGCAGGTCTGTCTACAAACAACTCCTTTACCTAATCTCGTCTCCCAAACGAGCTTTACCCTAACGAGGAATCATGAAAATTTGTAATAACATTTTATAACTGAATAGCTTCTAGATGCCAAATTTCGAATGCAAAGCACAGTATGTTTTAGTTAGAACGAAAGGAAACCAGCTATTTGTTCAGAAGAAGTTCGAGCTGGCACTAGCGGCCTATTGGGAGGGAATCATAATGGCTCAAGCTCAACTGCATCTTGGATTCAAAGCAGGGGTCAAACAAAGAGGTCACAAGAGCAGTAATAACGAGAAAACTGTCAGTAAGACAGCTGACGATGACGATGAGTTCGCGCAGCTTCTCAAAGCAGCAGGTCTGCTTCAGTGGGAAGTGGAAAAGGATGTTGACGTCACACATTTGAGGTGATACAAGCTTACGATTCTTAGATAGTTCTAAGAGTCTAAGAATATTATAATTCTAAAGTCGTTCTGTGCACTCAGAAATCTCATCTGGTATAAGAATTGATCCATGATTTTGTCTTTTCAGGTGAAAAGATTCTTGGTCAATAAAATCCGCATTTTTCTCACAAAACTAAAACCCAACAAAGAAAAGCTTTAACAAATTTTAGCTTTATTTCAGCTTTCATATACAACTCATTCGTGTATATAATTTTACTTAAATTGGTCGCCCTTAAATCGGTCGACGAAAAAATATGAGCAAATAATCGATAAAAATGAAAAACTTTTAAAAGAAACTCGAAGTATTTGCGTACATTTTTAAATTTCTTTTCATTATTCTTGTTTTTTTTTCTGTGTAGTCAGAGCACTAAGTGCTAGTTGGACAAAAACCAACTATAATTGATTTTAGACATAAAAGAATTGAAACTTTTTTCGCATATGCATGGAAAGAAATGAAAACTTTAACACAATGGCGATGCAGAGCTTTGCTCCATTTGCAATGCAAAGTTAGCCAAGAAAAAAGTTTTCGTGTATTGCAAATTTATTTCTAATAATCAACTAAATGAAGTCGTTTTCAAAGCAAATAAAAGCAAAAGTTTCAGTTTGAGGACAACTGACGTTTTGAATTTGGTTGCAATACATCAAACTGCTCAGAAAACAATGAAGCAATTTTAAAATCGCACACAGACAAAAAGACAAAAGTGTTATAACTGCAGACCATTCTATTTCCTTATAGAGGAGCCAAGGCAACTCAAGCCAGGAAAATACATTTTTAATTGAAACAAGGACTGAAAAAGATTCTAGAAAAAACTTATTATTTTTTCCTGAACACTTGATGTTGAAATTTAGTATGGTTTATAAAAGTTTGCTCCATTTGCGATGCAAAGTTAGCCAAGAAAAAAGTTTTCGTGTATTGCAAATTTATTTCTGATAATCAACTAAATGAAGTCGTTTTCAAAGCAAATAAAAGCAAAAGTTTCAGTTTGAGGACAACTGACGTTTTGAATTTGGTTGCAATACATCAAACTGCTCAGAAAACAATGAAGCAATTTTAAAATCGCACACAGACAAAAAGACAAAAGTGTTATAACTGCAGACCATTCTATTTCCTTATGGAGGAGCCAAGGCAACTCAAGCCAGGAAAATACATTTTTAATTGAAACAAGGACTGAAAAAGATTCTAGAAAAAACTTATTATTTTTTCCTGAACACTTGATGTTGAAATTTAGTATGGTTTATAAAAGTTTTTTTTCTTTAAAGTTCTAGGCTATCAAAACTGACCGAACTTGGACTCCTCTGCAGTAACATCTCAATCTGTCTGAAGGAACTCAACTGCCATCACAAAGCTGCCATTTTTGCTAGACTGGTTCAGTTTTTCGACGTCTCTCCAAACATAAAACACAAGAGTCTATTCCGCTACTGGCAATGCCAACTTGTTTCTGGGCATCTGAAATCACTGGGATCTGGGACTTGGAACCATCTCAAGGACGTTCTTTCAAAACATGAAATTGCGAGTTTGAAGTTGCTCGAGGCACAGGCGTCTTCAGGGACGTATGATTGGGACAAAATAGTGGAACAATATCTGAATGGAGAAAACCAGCACTATGAAGTGGCCGATTTCATTGGTATGTCAATTACAAATCGGTCAAATAAAAGTAGATACTGGCCAATCAAAGTGAACAGTAAGCCCTATGCAGAAACGAAAAAATAAAAGTTTGAAAGATCACATCGCGACAGACCCTTATGATCGTTATGAGTCTGATTCACGGGTTCACTCTATACCGTTCAAGTATCCATAATTTGAAAGAGTTGGAATTCCCAGCCCAAACACAATAACATAAATAGCTTGTTCAAGAATTGTTACATGCTTTAATGATTTTTTTTAATTCTAGGCAATGTGGAATTCAGAGAGATTCAAGGAAAAGGTCTGGGTACACTTGCTACGAAAGATATTGAAAAAGGAGAGCTCGTCATGGCATCGTTAGACATTTTATTCGAATTAGAAATACTAGATTCGGTAGACAATCACATATGCATGAACAAGAAAATGGTATGCTTGAATTAAATGAAAATGAGGTCATGGGATCAAAACAAAAACCAGTTTGTTGATTTAATTTGTCGGAAGCATATCTAAGATATTCGCGAGGAGCTAGACGTAGGATTTTCAAAAAACGTTAGAAATTTTGTTGAACTTTATTTGGGTCGACCAAATTTAGTTTCCCAGCTTTGTTAGAACACGAAAAAAAATAAAAGAGCAGTAAAAGTTTTCCACCGCTCACTTCTTTAAATTAAGAATATAATGGCGCCCAACGACGCCTATAGAAACATTTTAAAGTTCTTAGCTCAGAATGATGTCGTAACATTCTTTTGTTGGGTAGTAAGGGTTGAATTTCGCGCACTAAACACCCACCATCCTTACATTACCCTATCCTCCTAATCCGCTCTCGAATCTGCCCAATTTTGATCATCAGTGCTTTCAGAGCACTGCATCAGAATTTGGTTTTATTGACAGGAAAGCTCTACAACAGACTGAGCGGAATCTAGACCAGATACTCACCGACACAGTAGCTCCCGAACTCATCCTGAGTGGACCCCAGTCGAAGTTGGTCAGAGACATCAAAATCAAAGCAAAAGAAGACTTCTCTCTAAATGCGAAATTGAGGGGATTGTACGCAGGGTCAAAATTCAACAGGATTCCGACTCGAGATATGATTGAGATGACTCAGTCTCAGAATGTTCAGAAGCTTCAAGGTGAATGTCTTGGCAGTCGTGTAAAAAAAACATCTTTGGGTGTCTTTCAGTTCTTGGTCTCACAATGTTTTAAGCATAAGAGGAGGAATGAAAATCAAAGCAAAAATGATCGATAAATATGAAGCGTAAGCGTCCAAAAATAAAAATGTCTCACAAAGTTCAAAAAAGCTGTGTAAATATTTCTCTTGAAACTCATCTTCAGTTTGACATTGTCATAAAATTAAACTATGTGCCAGCCTAACTCTTTGTAAAACCGACCACGAAGACCTACAAAAATTTATATAACGAGCCGTTTTTCAATCTATAGTTTGAAGGATCGAAGCTCATCGGGATCCATACTTCCGTATTGAAGCCGAGGGACTAAAAATCGCATAACATCAGATGTAGTTTTATCAAAGTGGATCCAAAAGCGAATCGCAGTATAGAGGCGAAAAGGATTCTTTCTTACGCCGACGAATGCTCTTAAAATGGTGAAAAAGAATATAAAAACCTCAGTCTTAAAATATGAGTATTACGCTGCATTTTTAGAAGAGCTCTCAGCTGAACAAATTGGCTACGCTGTCAAGTTCAACGCTTTTGGAAGCAACTCGGGGACATTCGTCAAGCATAAAAACGGACAACTGCCACCTAACACTTTATCCAACTCCACATTCGCCGGACTGTGGTTCGAACCCTCCTTCTTCAACCACGACGACAACCCTAATGTATGCTGGGCGGTGATGGGGAACCTTCTTGTGGCGAGGGCTGCAACAAAGATCAAAGGTAAAGCAGAACAAATGGTTGTTATGCTAAGCATTCACATCTTTTCGATCAGTCACTTTTGCCAAAACAATTTAAAAAAACTCAAAAATTTTTGCCATTTAATAAAAAGCAAGGAAATTGGATGCTTGCAATATAGCTTCCTAAAAAGGTAATTTACATAAAACACTTTTTTATCATGTTACTTTTGACGGTTTGAGGGAGATGTGTGAAGTCGTTTCAGTCAAAAGGTCGTTAGTTCGAAGGCCACCATTGTTAATACATACCCGTTGCCTGAGGATGAGGCACCAATTCCTTGCCCAGAAAAAAGGAAATAGTTTTATATAGGCCTCAGTAACTTGCATGACAGCAGTTACCCGTAAGATCTGAACAGTTAAAGTCCTTTCCTCTGTTAAAAAATGGTCTTAACTTATTTAAAATAGTCCAAATCACTAAATATCCAACGAATTTCCTCCATACTCTGAAACGTTTGAAAAATTTTCGCTGCTGCTCGAACCACGACTGAAAAGGTTTTAAAATGAAATAACACTTCAACACGTTTAGTTTGCGTTGTGAACAAAAATAATCGAATCCTAATTTCCGCCCCCGCAAAAATAGCTACCACAATACGCAGCGCTACCAAAAAATAACACAAAGAAAGCAAAGTTTTTAGGCCGGGCAATTAATTAAAAAACGGATGAGTAAAATAATGTATTAATTAAAAGGGCCATGAATAAAATTAACACGAGTTAAAAACAAGAATAGCTTTTCGCAACAGCTTAACTTTACTTTTACTTTTATTGGAAAACGAGCTTTTATTGGAGATGAACACCATGATTTTGTTCCCCACAAAAACTGAAATATTTGAGATTCTTATTTCAAACAATAAACAAGCATCTCTATGATGCTTGAATTCGCAAGAAATTGACAAAAGAGGCAACAAATTGCACTAGTTTTAGAACTCATAAACGGATATCTTTGTCAATGTTACTTTTTTTTAGCTGGGGAAGAACTGACCATTACATATAGCTGTGAGCTGCGTATCACCGAGAGAAAAAACACATTGAAAGATTACGGCTTTAATTACGATCTCATCTACGAAAACAAACAAAAACTGGAGCTCCTGACTCAAAAATCGGAAGCAGTTTCAGAACTGATACTGCAGTCACAGAACACTAAGAATGAACAACACAGAGTTGATCTGCTGAATCGAGCTATAAAATTAAACAACTCTGTTATTAGAGATCATTATTCACGAATTTCTGATTTGCAACCACTAGTGATGGGTTTTCTGTATGACCAAATGCAGTTGTATTTGGCAACTAAACACGAACGAAAAGCGAAAGAGACTGCAATAAAAATACTGGATTTTTTTCCATGTTACGTTAACGAAGATTTGCTGCAGACTATTTTGACCTCCTTCAGCTTGAGTTTGAATCCAGAATTGCTGGAATCACTCCAAAAGTGTGTCAAGCTCATTTATGGAACTAATAATATATCACTGTTTTATTAACCCTGTTTGAAGTCAATTAATCACCGAGTTGTATCAGTTAATTTTTTTGCCACATTTTTTTATGCTTCAAATATTAGTGCGATCTCCACCACCCTGTTTCTTAATAACCCGGAAAACTTAAGCCACGCCAGTTTCTGACCCAAAGGTAGTTATGCTATGGGCATACTACATAGCCATATGCACTTTTAATCTTACTTAGTATTTCCCCACATAAATAATTCAACCCAGTTTGTTATAAAGTCAGTAGAGCCGGGAAAAAGCTGATCTAAAAGAATACAAGACTGCTCGTCCACCAGGGCAAAGCCCTGATTGCCCCGTTCGCCTTTACTGGTCTCCAATAGTTCTGTTAAAAATGATAAAATGAAATATAGACTTCGTACTACCAATATCAAATATCGGTGCCAAAGTTGGAGTGCAATTACCATGACCAAATAGTTGTCCGCAGTTCAACTAGAGCAATTATGATTAGCGGATAACTTGCCACCTAAAAATAACTTGGTTCTTTAACTTATTAAGAGTTAATCGAGCAGCTCTACCAATCGCATTTTAGTCTAATGCTGATACCCATAAACTATCAGTTTTCTTTGTTAAATTGGTCTGAACATAAAAAACACCCCAAGCATATATATTCCTCACTTTTTCTTCGAAAATTGACACAGAAAAATTTCTAATTTCTAAACCACATTACTTGCCGTGAAGACTTTCTTGTACACGTTACAGCAATAAATTTCCTGGTTTTTTCATTGATATTTTTAGATTTTTTCGTTCAGCCTCATATTTCATTCAACCAAGTTTTAGCCATTTTTTCATTCAGCCTCGTTTTTCATTCAGCCAGTTTTTTTAATTCAAACTTACAATGAAATACGACTAACTGTTTTTCAGTTTCGGAACAATTAAATCTAAACGATACTCTAAATTTTTATATGCCCCATTCATAAAAACAAATCGAATTGAAAAACTACAACCATCATTAAAAGCAGATTTCAATCAAGTCGGATTATTATGCTAATGTGACTTTCAAAATGCTTATATGCTCAAAAGATGTGTTGCAGTATTTGCGGCAGCGTCCAGCTGATGAGTCCTGTTAACAAAGTTTATTAACGGGAAAAAGCCTTGTACCCAGATTTAACATAATTTCTATCCCAAGCGTACTAAGAGAATTATTAGTTTAAGTCATCAAGTTTTCAAACATTTTCCCGTCCAGTGGAGTGAGAAATTGAATTTTTTAACTCGGGCAATATTTTCTTTCAAAATAATCAAAATGCAGTCGTTTCTATTTTTTTATGCAAATCAATCGACCATGGATTGTTTGATAACTTTGAATCTGAGAAAAAAGTGGTGTATACTTTCAGATTGCCATTTTTCCAGCAATAATTCCTTGCTCAACAATAATTCTCTGCGCCTCATAATGATTAAAAAAACTATAATAGAGCCAATAAAAACTTCTTTAATCAAAAGCTTAAACTTTAATCAAAACCAAAAAACCTCCAAAAATATTTTTTTGACGTTTCTTTTTTTAAAAATTTGGTCGCCTCATTTCGAAAATTAATTTGGTCGACTCAAAAAGAGATAGCCAAAAACTACATTGTTTTTGAAATCCCCCCACCTCCTCGAGAAAATCCCAGGTAGGCCCCTGTCTTCAAGAATGTCGAAATATTAAGATGCAAAATAGGGATAATCTATTTCGAGAAATTAAAGTTCAATTTCAAGTTTTGAAAAATGAAAACAATCACGGCATCGAGAATTTTTACAAAACTATGATTCAAAACAAGAGTACAAAAGTTTTGAAATTTAAAACACAACTTGAAATTCAATGTGTCAGCATAACCAAAAAAAAATCTACTTTTTTTCCACCTGGTGCCGCTGGTTATCCAGAGAACCGGCATCGACACCCAATTCGGATGTACATATTTTTTTTGCATATGCCTTACTACTTCACCAACAATTTCAAAATTTTTTTAGCTCTGCCAAAATCCCTTGGCTTCCATTTCAAAAAATCGGGCCAACGATTTTTTATTGTCTTCTGATTTTGCTTTTAATTTCTTTTTGCATTGTTAGATTGTGAAAAAATTAGCCCGTTAGCAATTATTTATCTTCATTTTTTAAAGAACCTGTAAATTTTTAAGAGCGGTAGGGATAAAAACAGGAGACAACTGCGGTAATTGCTGCAGTAATTGATGTCAAAAAAAGTATTTGAAGCCGAATTAGGTGAATTTGGTTGTTTTGAAAGATCAAATAAAGTAGAGCTTTTTTTATTTCTCGCCAAGGTCTTAGTGTTTATAGCTTTTTTTCCTATGAACTTTGTAAGGCTGGTTTTCCGAATATCTTCTGGCTTCTTTTCTTCCAATTCAATTTTCTTAATAAATTTCGGAATTCATTTAGAATTCAAAACACAGCCAACTGAAAGTTGGAAAAAAGCAATAAACGCGAAGAAACAGAAAAAAAACCAACTTGTTTTTTTGAAAAAATCTCAGCCTTCAAATTCCAAAAAAATGTGGCCTTAAACCTATTTGAATTTCTGAAATAATTTTTAATTGACATTTTTTTGATGAAAATGCCCCAATGTGAGAGATCAAAACATAAAAATTCGCCAGGAAATCTGACAATTAAATTCCACTTTCGAAACTAGAAGTCGATCACGTTTTTCGTGACTTTTTCCGGCAAAAAATCAACCCGACCTATATAACACTCTTCTCTACGTTCATTACTCTTAAAAACGGGCAAACTTCCAGCCAGTTAATAGTCGAAAAAAGGGCGAGACATTATTCAGAAAACTTTAGACTGGTCTTTGAAAAAAAGGAAAAATCAAGAAAGATGAAAAAAAGATCGAGTGCCCCTCAAACTATTTGATATAGTTTTCTTCACATTTCAAAAACAAATGAACCATAAAATTTTTTCATTTTTCGAATTTTCCCCAAACGCCTAATGTGAAGTACAACGTGATACGTTTTGATTCTAATAACGCTATCTTTGGACACGATAGTTTGCCTCAAATTGATTTCGACGCCCTTTGAATTCTGGTAAGCGAAGAGTCGGATTCATCGCGTAATTATCCTAAATCAGTAATTATGGCAAATCAGATGTTATCCCAAACCGACCAAACCGGCAATTTTCAAACTATTATAACTTAGCGAAATTAGGTCATAGATGAAATAACTATACTCTAAGGAGCCTAAAAGAGTAGCTACAAAAACGATGTAACACTCCGCTGGGCTTGCGAAAAAAAACTAAAGAACTCTTAAATTACATACAGAAGATTTATCTGACGAAAAGTGAATCATTCTCGTTCCTAATTGGTCGGAAACAGAACGCGTTTGAATAATAATAAATTCGATTTAGTCTCGAAATACAAAAATACATCAAACGCATGTTGTAACTGTTTTTACACCTTTTTTAGTTCAGTATTTACAGCATAGAATAACAGCACAGCCAATAATTTATTTTCAAATTCCTTGTACAAAATAGTCTGATATTTAAGACATTTAGCATCAGTTTTGCAAAGAACAAAAAAACTATTATACTACAGAACAAAACAAACCAGTTGCGTCACTTTTAAAGCATGAGTTGTGCAAGGAATGAGATGAGAGAAAAGTGGCTTTCAAATTGCACGATATTAAGTCATAAATGCTAATTTAAATAAAATTTAACAGAATTAATTAAGCATACGAGCACCTTTATGATATATGATATTTTCAGGAACGTCACTCAAATCAGTCATAGATAAGTTTAACAGATAAGTTTAAGTTAGTCGCCAGATTTCAAATAAAATCAGCTACAACCTTGGCGAAGCTCTCAAATCAAGGGAAAATCTCCAGCCTCTTCGTCATCTGAACTCCACAACCCACGAAGCACTTGGATTCAGGGCAAACAGATTGCTAAATAGAGCCTTTTCATCACTTAGACATCGTTTAGAGATGTTTCCACCAACTTCAAAAAGACACAATTTCTTTGATATATCGCCGTCTATCGCTTTCATCCAGCCTTCTTGGGAGTAAGAACTGGCGTATCTACTACTTCCGTTGGATCCAGGAGATTCAGTTACCTGGCTATTTCCACTGTCGCCCCGGTTCCCGACCGGAGATCCCGGGGCCACAGGAGTACTTGAGGGGCACTTGTGAGTAGGCATTGTGGTTTTCTGAATATATTCCATTATGTCCCCCACCGTAGGGTAGAGCTGTGTGTCCACTTGGACTATGGAATCGTGGCCTAGTTTTATGTCCACTTTCCGTGGCACGAATGCAGTGACGGCAGCCGCGGTTGATGCAATCAGGTTAACCGCATTTGTTGTGTGTCCACCGTCAACAAGGTCTGTAGACTCTCGCCTAGGAGCTCGTTTGAACAAACTTTTCAGAACTGGAAGCGCTTTCTGTCTATCCCCTAAGCCATGGTTCTGGTCTAAAACAACAATTTTAGCGAAAAATTATACAATTGAATTAGCGGCTTCTCACAACTTCAGTATTTTTTTAGATATCAGTCTGTTAAGGAACAAATTTAATGGAGCATATCTGCTGTAGATTATACATATAGATTCACTTAACTCACTCACATTTGAGTCTGATCTCGCTGAGCAAGAAGTCCGGCACTATCCAGAGCTGTTCGTGGTAGTTGATCAGCAGCTGCATCACTTCCTGCTGCTCCTGGTTGCTCCTCATCTCATCGTCCATACTCCCAAGCGAACACTTGTAACTCTTGCCACCTGTTACAGAAGGGAACCCATTCACTTTCAGCTATGAACATTAAGGGCTACAATTTTCCTTCTCTGTTCAGAATTAATACTGCATTGTCGATTGTCAACTTGACATTTCATAGCCAATCATTAAATTTGCAAGAAAAACAAGGATAGCCGGTTGATAAGCAAATAACACTATGGTCTGACCACATTCATAAAAAAACTAAAACACGTCTTCTAAAATTTTTTTCGTGTCTTTTTTTGTGCGCGGTGATGAGAAAACAGTACAATCGCGAATAACCTTAACGAGCTAGGAATAATCTACAAAAATAAATAAACAAAATAAAATTTTGTTCATGTTTTTCTAAAGTTTTTTCTTATATTTTGAATAAAAATTTTTGTAAATTTATTTAGAAATAGTTATTGGCAAGGAAGCGCTAAAGGAAGCTTCCAAAACTAGTTTTCCTTTTATAAAAAGCAGGTTTTTGAAACCTAGATGACCAATTTTGATATAACGAAGGTTTCCCGATCGCGTTACTCGCTCAAAATTAGCCCAGTTTTTCTCGACATTGGTACTTTTTGAATTGATTCAAAGTTTGTGCGAATCACGAGTGAAATGATATATCACTCAACCCATTCCGATAATTTTTGTGACTTAATTTAGCGTGAAAAAATACCCAATTCCCATAACTATTTCGAGACAAACATCAATGAGTCATGGATTTCATTAATAAGAATGAAAAAGTTCAATGTTGACTTTGGGAAACATTTACACAAAAGTCTGCTGATAGCCTGATTCCTAAAATTCAAAATTGCAGAAAAAAAATTTTGTCAATAAAGAACAAAAAATTTGAACAAGAATAATTTTTACATTTATCAATTTTTAGCCGTTTCATACCTTTGTCCGATACTGCTGCGAAAAAATTTGGAGTCATGATCTTTGCCACACTTTCCAGATTCATTTGGTTGTACTGTTCATTTTGGGCAACTTGGAACAGATACACGAGCAGTAACTTCAGAGTATGCGAGTGAGAGCATGGCAGCATGAGGATGAGGAGGTTGAGGGCTTCTAACTTCTTCCCTACTTTGCAATTCATTTTGCATACGAGAGGAAACAGAGCCATGTACTCGAATGTGAGTAGAGGTACTGGCAGCTCCTGCAGGAACTGTTTCAGCAGAGATGCAGCATCGTAATTAGTTACCTAGAACAACAATTCAATCAGTTTTCATCACCAAAATGATGATAGGAATTATGTAATAGATTGATTCTAGAATACCTTCTTAACCGAACATTCTGACATGCATTTAATGCAATACCTAGCCTGGTAGATCACCATTAGACAAGTGTAACTTTTTACACTTCTTAAATACCTCACACAACTTGTATTCATTAACTTTGAATATATTTGTGACGAAACACATTTTATTCATTTTATTTAAAGCAAAAAAAATCGACACAGAAAGCGGTTTGGAGTAGTTACACCAATGAAGATGAAGCGGAAGTCCGCAATACCAGCGATTAAAAGCAAGTATAGCACTGCAAGCTAGCAAACAAAAAATGAAACGCAAACCAATAATTATAGAAAAAAAAGAAAAAAAATTTCTTGTTTGTCGTGACTGATATTCAAATTCAAGAAAATATATCCAACAGACAGCTGGAAAAAAGCCAATGAACGCAAATAAATAAAAAAAATCTGACGTGTACTTTAAATCTCAAGTTTCGAAAAAAAGATGGCCTTAAATCTCTTCAAATTTCTCGAAAAAATTATAATTGCCACTTTTTTGATATAAAACTAACACAAAACTGAATTATCAGGTAAAAGTTTTATTCCTATAGGAAATCTTTAAAAAAATCCATTTTCGAAACCAGAAGTCGAACACGTTTTTTGTGACCTTTACACTTTTGATGTTCGATAGTAGAGTTTGCCTTCCTTTTAACAAAGGAAAAAAACTGAACTTAAAGAGAAATCAAACCGCGAAAAAATAAAATTGAGCCTTAACAAATTTTTCCTGGAAACAAAAAAAGACCATCACATATACAAGAGCCTGAAATACGTATATCGACTCATGAACATAGTCTAGAAATTCAACCAGCAGCGTTGAATAAGCATTCAGTGTCGTTTATCGAGTTGCCACATTTGGGTAGACGCTCACTTGGCTGACAACACAAAAGTCAAAAAACAAAATAAAAACCGCGATAAATTAAATTTGAGTCAGAACAAATTTTAAGACTTTTCCTGGAAAAAACAAAAAAAATCATCGCGACTTATATAAGAGTCTGAAATACGTTCATCGACTCTTAATAACAATAATTTGAAAAAACTGGATAAATTGGTAAATTGTTGTCGTATGTCGCTGGGAAATTTGAAAATCAAAATCCACTTTCAAAACTAGAAGTCGATCACCTTTATCGTGGCCTTTACATTTTTGCTGTTCGATAGTGGAGATTGCCTTCCGTTTAACAAAAAAAAATGAACTGAACTTACAAAGAAATCAAAAGTCAAACCGCGAAAAAGTAAATTTGAGCTTGAACATATTCTAAGATTTTTCCTGAAAAAAAAAATAAAATCATTATGAACCATGTAAAACTCTGAGCAATGTTCATCGACTCTTAAAAATTCAAAAGCTTGGGAAATTAAGGCTGCAAACAAGAAGAAATACACTATATTCCACTAAAAAAATTCCCAGACAAAAAATTTGATTTCATAAAAATCGAACAAAAAACAAGGTTCTATCAGACTCACAAGTACACG